ATGTACAGTGTGTGGTCGTTTTTTTTTGTTTTTTTTTTAATTAAACTTTCATTGTGGTTTGTGCAGGTGAAACCCGTATGCGGTTCTATGAACTGCTGGTTAATGGTCTTTACACTCCGCAGACCCTTCCTGTAGGCAATGAGCAGGATGTCTCGCCACCTGTGAATGAAACTCAGCAGGTACAGTGTGCTTGGGTGTGTTTTAATAGTACATTTCTAAAAACTTACAAGCAGACAGTGGTTGATTCAAATAGATTCTCCTATAACAAGTGACTTGTGTGGTATTGTTTTATTCCATCCTGGGGTAGTTTTGTCAGTACATTGTAAAAATTACTTTAAAATTCATTATCTGTATTTAAATACATTGGATTTAATAACTGGAACTTGCCAGAGCAAATTTAATTCTTTATAAGTGTCATGTGCAAATTCACGCTGTGCCTAAGTGAATATTGTGAGTGATCTGTGTCCTGTTGTAAATATACAGAACCAACTAAATGCATCCTAGTAACTTTAGTAATTTCTGTAATTAAGGATGCCAGGCCAAATCCATTCATCGGGTCCCCCTGTTGAAGTCCGTGGAGTGACTTGCAAGGATAAACTTGTCCTCTTTTCCTTCACTTTAAAGGTTATTCTAGGTTTTTGCTAGAAGATGGGAAAGATGTGTGTTTTGAATTTTAAAGGTTAGGGTATCTTTTCTGCTTTTTTTTCCTCTTTAAAAATATCAGGAATGCCCATCCTGGTTCCTCCGTAGTTTTTCAGGAGGTTGTCTCATGCGTTTGAGATTTTTTTTCTTCACACCTTTTAAAATGAAGACTAGAGGTGTTGTGTCATTGTTAAAGACACATCAGTTCTCCAAAATGGTCATTGGAATCACTTGGTTAACAAAAACAGAGCCAAGCAGTTCCAAACTGGGGTGTCTAAAGTTTGGCTCTTAAGTAGTAGTCTGTGTAAACAACTCTCTTGCAACTGACTGACAGGCAGTCACCTGCTTCTTCGCGGACCTCCATTTAAATGAGAGAGACTCTTTATGGGCCCACGTTCTGTGTGCAATCACTTGCTGGTTTGGAGCCATAGACTTCCAAATAAAAGTGGCCTGACTCTTTTCAGTGGTCTTGAGCACCCTGCGCTCCCATGGATTTCTGTCCACTTTTATGTAGGAGTCTGATTATGGATTTAGGTGCCTGACTTGAGGCATCCAGGTTTGGAAGTTTTGGCTTTAATAGTTTTAAACATTGTAGCTATAAATCTTTTCCCCCCTCTCAGTTGCTCACCTTTCTCTCTTTTTGATTCTTATTATATCCTCATTTCACTAGTTCTCCAGATAGATAAGTCTTGAATACTGAATGTGAACACCAAACTGTTCCCCCCTCCCCCCCCAATCTCCAAAGTCCCTCAAAGCAAAACCTTTCAGGTCATCTTTCTCCATCATAAAGAGGCCTCATTTCCTCCTCAGCAGGTCACCCTTAAATGTGGAAGAGTGGAGCTGAAAGAGATTGTGATTCGACTAGATAGCCCAGTCCTGCCACGTGCTGAGCGTCCCATGTTGGGCACCTTCCACTCCCAGTGACTTCAGAAGGAGTGGATGATGCTCGGCACTTCACAGGGTTGTACTTGTTGCCTCGTTACAGAGGATCCAAAATGAATGTGTGCACGTCCACTATTGTGGGTTGGTTTTCACAGTTATTAATGAGACCTCTAATTGCTTCTTCATTTTTTGTTTACATCAGTCACCACCATTATTGTTGATTAAAGGTCTTGCAATTTATTATACAATATTACCCTGAACTGAACTTTTTTGGGGTGACCCACAGAACAATAATTCTGGTGATTCCTTCAGTTAATATCTACCAGATTCTCCCAAGACACTGCTAATGTGCTGGAGTAATTCCAGTAGAGTAGCTTGACATTTCTTGATTTGCCTCCTCTCCCCCGTTTCAGCCCTAAAGGTCAGCTGGTCTGCCTGCTCCCTCCTTAGAGCCCTCCCTCACTCAGGGCCTGATCCAAAGCCTATTGAAGTCAATGGAAAAATTCCCATTGACTTCAGCGGGTTTTGGAGCTGGCTGTTATGTTGCCCTTGGCTGGGAGTGCGCTCTTGGCTCTCACCTGCAGGCAATCAAATACCCAGGGAGTTGATACATAAATTAATTATAGGAGGAGTAAGTATGACCTAAGCTGCCTTTGTAACCTTTGGAGGAGAGGGTGGAGTGAGGAAGAGAAAGTTCAACTGCCAAATCTTTATGGTCTGCAACAGCCATACCATGCAAAAAATAACTAAATCTGTAAGTGTGTTTGTGTCAGTGTATCAGACAGTTGGGTGCTGCACGAAACCTGACAGTGGCGATGATTCTGTGGAGCCACTGAAATGTGAATTTTAATTTAAAAAGTAGCAGATAACTTTTAAATAGGAACTTTAAAAACTATTACTTCACTGCAGCCTCAATAAAATCTTCTCTGTTTTTTGTTGTTGCTGTGTTAGAGCTCAGGCCATATCCTGCTGATCTGAAAGGGATTTGGACTGGGTAACTCTCTGCTGCCTATCTACATTACTGAACATTGATTTTGGCATGATGCTGATATGACTCATCATTGTTTGAGGGATTTTTTTTTCTTTCTTTCTTTTTTGTTACTGGCTTCAAACTTTAATCGGATTGTTTGGATAAAACCCCTCAATGTGCCTTTGAAGTAAATTTCATTAAGATCGATTATTTGGCTGTTCTGTGAGGTTCGTGTTTTTTAGTTTTTAGATTCCATAGCTGGAAACACTCTACCTGATCATGTGTCTTTGTGAAGTTTCTGTTTAATTTTTGTTTGTTTGTTTGCAGTTCAGACACAACCTCTTTACATATAGTAGATAGATTGACTCTTCTGCTAGAGCTTAACATGTGGCAGGTGGGCAGATCGGGGGTCTGAGCTGACAATCAGACCAACACAAAGCCTGATTGACTTCCACAGGTTCTGTGCTTGCATACGGGTCTACTATGTGGAACTGATTGCAGGTGTGGAGCCAGTGTGTATATGTATATAGTCTGATTTGATATGTAAACTAGCTACTTGGGTCCCTTCATACTGTGTAAAACAGTCTTAATCTTTTGGTTTCAATGGTACTCTTTCATTCTCTTCTCTAGTTACATTCAGAAACTGTTGACAGAATTTTTTATTTTATTTTCAGTATTCTTGATGTCTCATGTTCACCTGATTCTCTTGACCTTAACATTGCTGCCAAAGAATAAATAGTATTTGCCCATTTCCTTCACTTCCTCTCCTACAGACTTTTAAAACCAAAATAACTGCCTACATATTTTAACGGATAATTATTTGTGTATGACTTGGTTTTCAGAGCTGCAAGCACCCACTACTGCCAGGGAAGTCAATTGAAAGTCTTGGTGCTCAGCTTCTCAGAAAATCAGACAAATAGTTTTTGACTGTGTATGTGTGTATATATCTATATCTATTATTTACTTTTATTTTATTTTTTATAGTTGACTGATTCTGTAAAACGTCTGAAAGACAGTAACCTTTCTTCTGCGGGATCATCCATTACCCCAAACAGTAGCACCCCATTTTCCCATGATACAGCCTATTCCAGCAGTCGGCAAGACACCCCAAACTCGTATAGCCAGTATACCCCACAGTCCCAAGGAACCCCACTCACCCCACGACTGGGGACTCCGTTTTCCCAAGATTCAACCTATTCCAGTCGTCAAACGACACCAGCTTACCATTACGGACAGGACTCTGGGTATAAACCCAGGAGACATGAAACAAAATTTACAGATGCCTATAATAGACGACCAGGACATCACTATGTCCATAACTCGGCAGGTGTTTACAGAGGGTCAGAACATCAGTTTAGCACGTTCAAGTCTCATCAGCAAGAGCCAGTACAATATTCTCACACTCCTCCCTTGAGCCACTCTGGTTCTTCAAGTTATAAATCTGCCTTCTCTCCATACCAAGCACCAGCTGTATTTCCCCCATCTGATGAACAGCAGTATCCCCAAACTTCCAGAGACACCGAGTACCGGAGACCTGCCCCGCCTCCAGCTGAGATCTTAGTAGAAAGTAGTGCTGCTACGAATATTGATTTTGTTCCTGTGAAAGAAAAACAGGAGGAACTCCCATCCCTGCCACAGTCAAACTGTCTTACCGAACAAAGTACAGCATCCTTTTCTCAGACTCCGGAAAGGAGTGAGACACCTGGCACCCCAACCATGGAGTCTGAAATGCAGCATAACAGTTTAGACTCAAGGATTGAGATGCTCTTGAAAGAGCAGAGAACAAAGTTACCTTTTCTCAATGAACATGATTCGGACAATGAGATCCGAATGGAAGGTAGCCCTATCTCTTCCTCCTCCTCCCAACTTTCTCCTATCCCATTGTATGGCTCTAACTCTCAGCCCAGTTATAGAGCTCAAACCCCATCCTCACGTCCCTCCAGCACTGGCTTGGAGGACATTAGTCCAACACCGTTACCAGATTCTGATGACGACGAGCCAATCCCTGGGACAGCTCCTCTGAGTCAGAATTCAAGAGGAACGTCAGAGGCCAGTATGACTCCTATTGATCAGCTGAGTAGGACATCCAAAGCTGAGACTTCTGAGACTAAAGAAATGCTGCCTGGTGACCAGACACCAACATCAGAAAAAATGGATGAGGTAAGAGAGAGAATTCAGATAAGCTACATGAATGTCTATGTGACTAGAACAAGGTAGAGCATGTACTCTATTCAAAAAGTGGTCTTTAGAAACTGTTGTGGGGTTTTTTTTGTTTTGTTATTGTTTTTTGAGCCAGGGTGGTTTTAACCAGGTTTGACTCAGGGAGTTGGTAATGGGGTAGATGTGACATGAGCTGATGGTCTTAGTCCGGTTCCTGGTTAACAGGCGTCCCTATTTCAAGGACAACCCCTGTAATTGGTAGTTTCACGTAGGGAGCTCTACGATTGAATAGGCCATAAAAACTGATTTCCATCGTGGTGGTGCTCATTCTAGCTTAGGGTTGAAACTTATTGGTGAGACTGAGGAAATTTGCATTACCACTGCTCATGCAGTTACTGTCCTGTGGATCAACAGATTTTTGAGTCACCAGAGCTGTCAGTCCAATTCCGCTTGCCAGCTCTGATGTCCCTTGTAAAAAATACATCTACTTTGGTAGTTGTCAAATTGTTTATTCCATCAGGTGTGAACAGGAAACAGTTGTTGGGTTCTAACATACTCTTTCCTTAAGCGATTTAGACGAGAGGTAACTGACCTACTGGGGATGTGTTCCACTGAGTCTTCCAACAATAGAGCACAGCCTGCTGCCTGTAATGGAGCATTTGGGGATGAAGGACTTCAGGAGCGTAACTATATGGAATGCTGCCAGCAGACAGAGAGTGCATTGCAGTGGGTGTTTTATTTGGTGTTTCAATTGAAACAAATGTGAGTAACATACTGTAATGTACATTTGGGTCCCAGTATAACATGTCACTGACAGTCAAAATATATATCTTCACAAGCGCCTGACCCTTCTACTCAGTACTGTTTATAACAGGATCTCAAGCAGATGAAATTATTATAATTTGAGTACAAGAAAAAAACACATTCAGGGAGACATCTAGTATTCTAGATTGGTTCTGTCTAATAAGTGAACACGGTGTAAAAGATAATTTGCTTTATTTATAAAGCATTTCTGTAATTAAACTGGCAGAAAATACTTCTCCAGTAAACAGTTGCTGTGTTTCCACCCTAGAAGTGGCTGCATTTCAGGAGCAGGTGCAGCATTCCTGTGCATGTGTGGTTTGCAAAATGCTTTGGGATTGTTTGGTTGAAAGGCACTACAATCATCAGATCACACGTTTTAAAATGTTCAATAAGGCTAATAGGAACATTCTCCTCAGATCTATTTTTTATGCCTAAATGATGACCGATACTTCGTGTGTGTTTTGTAAGTAAGTACATGTTCAAATCTTTTTGAACTTGGACGGCAGTGCTGGTCCTGCTTTAGAAGCAGCTCAACCACTTGGTGTGCGCCCATTCTTTTTATAGGCTGACCCAGTCTCCACCCCTCTGGTAACATGACTGGAGAGATCCAACGAAGTGGGTATTCACCCACGAAAGCTTATGCTCCAATACATCTGTTAGTCTATAAGGTGCCACAGGACTCTTTGTTGCTTTTTATAGATACAGACTAACACGGCTACCCCTCTGATACTCTCTAATACATGTTTCCTTTGACGCCCCAGTCTTGGTTGGGAAGTGGGTTTTAAACCAGAAGACTGGCCCTGCAGGATTGAGAGAGGATATTTTTGAAAAACCCACGTTTTGTGACTAGCTTATTCACAGGTGGAAACTCTGCATGATCTGTTGGGCATTATGGGCTTGAATCTGCTTTCTTCTAACGACGAGCATTTCATCACATTTTAAAAATTGGACGAATGCCACTGTGATCGTTTGGGGTCAGGGACTTTCTACAACTGCAATGTTAACGTCCCTTACTGGCCTCAGAGGAGTTCCCGGTATATTGTATTAACAGATTGTAACATGGGACAACAGTGTGCAGAAGTTGAAGCCTGTGATTAATCTTAGTCTTCCCTTAACGAGATATCAGTGTCAGAAGTTCGTCTTCACGGTTCTGCACAAAACGGCACAAAACTGAATACGTTCTAAAAGCCTATTTAAAAGTCAAAAAGTTGCTAAGAGTATCTCAAAACCTATTCTCCCTGCTGTTGTTGTCTTCTTACAAAAAGATATTCTATTTTTTTTCTTCTTAGAGCTGTTTGTTCAGAACTTCCTATTATTTACAAATCACCCTAAAACTATTCCAGTGCATTTAAAAAAATGTATGTGCCTTTCACTGCTCCTTTATGAAGTGTGGGTTGGGTGCTTTTTTGCTTCTCTCCCCCCAGTGACCGCCCCCTCCCAGTTTTCCACAAACTAGGTCCTGGCTCCCCTCCCTTTTGCTGAAGGATTCTTTGAAGGACTGGAGTTGAATACAACAAGGAGTCTGGTGGCACCTTAAAGACTAACAGATTTATTTGGGCATAAGCTTTCGTGAGTAAAAACCTCACTTCTTCGGATGCATTTAAGGTGCCACCAGACTCCTTGTTGTTTTTGTAGATACAGACTAACACGGCTACCCCCTGATACTGGAGTTGAATAGCGACTCCACCAGAGGCTGAAATTTGAGCTGTAGCTTTCCAAACTTCAAGTGAGTCAGAAAGGAGTACTGAGTCTTGGGCTGGGAAAGCCACAGCTAGGCATCAGCCTATTGTGATGTTACTGTTCAGCTCCAGTCCTTCAAAGAATCCTTCAGCAAACAGGGAAGCCAGGACCTAGTATTTCTAATGTGTGAGGGGGAAGAGCAGAGCCAACATTTATATTTGGGTGGGAAGGGGCCCGTGGTAGCCATCTTTGTGTTTTAAAGAAGCAATCAAGGGCAGATACTTGGAACCTCTGTTTCCTTCATAATTCGCTTTTAAAGTGTCCGACTGTGTATTGATATACAGTCTGAGTGCATGCTCTGTCTGTACACACGCAGACAGTGATGTCTCAATACTTGTAATAATAATACCCCCAAAAAAGGTAGCAGGAACGTTTTCGTTTAAGGTGGCAGCAGCTTTTCATGGGCCCAATCCTGCTTCCACCAAAATGAATGGGAGTTTTGTCAGTGGGAGCAGGTTTTGGCTCTACCTCAGAATTGCTGTTATGCAGTAACTCTTGTTCTCTAGGGAAAGCACCATGTACCCTGCATAAAGGCAGGAAACCCAGAGTTGCAATAGCAGAGGTTAAAATGAAGAGAGTGAGGCTGGTCCCGCATTAACTCTGCAAGACACCCGAGTTTGATTCCAGGATCTGGCCTGCTTCGTTGAGCTTGGCAGTGTGTTTGACTCTGAGAAAGGGAATGCCATGCTTCTATCGGCAACACCTACCCATGGCTAATCTCAGGATAGTGATTATGGGCTCCAAAGAAAGTCCTGTTAGCTGCTTTCTTTCAGCCAAGGGAAGCTTAAGAAGCAGAGCCTAAAGTGGAGATGAAATATGGGCTGCGGGGAAAGGGGCGGGGACAGGAGGAAGGGATCCTTTACAAAAAGCACATGCAAGCATTTAAGAAAACCTGTAGAGCTCATTCAAAGTAGTCTTGAGTTCGGGAACAAAAACGGGGGGGAGTGAAATAGAGTTTAGTTAAAATTTTATTTTAGCAAGATTCCATAGGTAACACTGAGAAAAACCTTTTGTCCTGCCTAACTGAGCGACAGTGAGGAAGGTGTAATCATATCAAGCTCTTTAAAATAAAATAAAAAAATCTTTGCGTGGGGTTTCAGAAGCGCAAGAGTTAAATATGTAACATTTGATGTTTTGACATCCCATTTGAGCCAGGTCTTGTTTTTGCTTGAGGCCTGCTACAGGAAGAGGCCCTGCATGTGCATATTGGGGAGGACGGTAGGATCAGAACAAGTCACTTTGTTTTATATTGATGGTGCCTTTTGTGTTCCAGTGTATGAAGACTTTGGGTTGTTGTTGTTGTTTTTTTTTAAGCAGCTTTTTTTTATGATAAGAATGTCATCCGATTAGCACTTCACTTATTAGGAAATACTTTTATGTTGATGATCAACAGCCTACCAACCGTCCTTGTAAATTGCCTATGCACCTAGATACCAGAGTGACGGGTGCCTTATAAATGCCTAAGATGATAATGAAAATAGGACTCCTCGGAAATAATAATGACGAGGCTGTAGCTCTGCTCTGTACTTTACTTGCTGTAAGTTTTAGTAAAGGGTTTTGTGACACAAATGGAGATTACATAATATGCAGTTGTCCTGAGGACACCTAAAAACTGCTGATGAAACCAGCTCAGAGAGCAAACTTTGTTTTAATGCGGTGGCACAGTTTTTCTTTGTCAGTTGATGCTGAAATGTGTCATCACAGGATCGCAGTTACTTTATTTTATATTTTTTTTGTAGAGACTTTCTACATCTAAAATTATAGATCAGCATAAATTGAAATGAGCCAAATTCATCCCTTGTTAAGCTCCACTGAAGTCATTGGAGTTCCATCCAGGATGAATTTGCCCTACACGTTTAAATGTATTTGAGCTTTTGTTCCTCCGTAGTTATGCCTACACTTTGGAAACTTTACCGTGGAGCTGACCTGAAGAAGAGCTGTGTGTGCTCGAAAACTTGTCTCTTTCACCTCACTCACTTTGTCTCTGTAAAAATATCAGACAGGCCAGTTCCATTCTACCTCCCTAATTCCCCTCCTCAGTTTTAACTGGATATGGCATTCTTCCTCCCCTCCTGTTCTAAACTACTGCAGAGAGTTGTGTGCTGTCAAACGGCAGCTATATTCGCACTCTAGAGTTGGTTGCATTTCAGTAGCTGTTGAATGGATTCCTATTAAACGTCCATCTAAATTTTCCTTTCGCAGTAGTGACTGTTCAGGGGAGCAGAGCAATGCCATTTGTGCTTCTAGTACTAGAACCATCGCGCCAGTGAAGGGGGGCCACTGGAGCACTCCTAGCCAGCTATGCCTTGCAGCTCCTTTGTAAAAGGATGCATGAGCTGCCTGGGAAGCTATCTCTTAATCAAGGAGTGTGGCCCATACCTTTTTGGAGCTATGCTGCACTGTGCAGGCAAGAACCAGCGCCTCTGCCTATAGTTCAAAAGGTTAAGATCCTTAAA